CAACAAGATTTGAGTCAGGCCACTTTTCAAAGCATCTTATTGGCCCAAAGAAATCTTATTCAACCTTGACATGCCAAACTGAGATTATAGATTCTTCTTCTTCTTACCTTTCTTGTTCCAGCCCCATTTCCCTCCAACCTTTCTTTCCCCTACTTCACTTGATGTGAGGAACAGATTGCCAAGACCTGCAGTAGTCTAACTAGGGAATGAAATCCTTTTCTTACATGCACTTCTAGGTTTATTAGTTTGGGATTCAAAAGCTCCCAACCAGACCAGAAATTCATGACTCCAGTGAGCCCTCCAATCTTCAAACTACTTTATATATCCTGGACAGGTGAGTGATAGGACAGCTGGTAGCTGGATCAGTTCTACTAAATCTTGTAAATCCTGCAGGACTGTGTCGGGGGTTTCTGAGGAACTTTCTCTAATATGCTACAATACTAAATAACAATTGCTTTCAATTCTCAGTTGTGTCCTTCACTGAGGCAACAGAAGTCTCATCTGGTATCCTTTCAACATTAACAAAAGTGTGAACCAGAAATAACCCAGATATCAAAAGATTGCCAAATACAGTACATTCATATAAATAAATATCACTTGGTGTTAGAAATCTTAATCCAGTGCTGTGTTTATTGACATGGAAAGATGTTCTTGATTTATTCCTAAGTGAAAAATATTAGTTACAGAACAGTATGTTTCTGTATACTCATGTTTGCTATTGTGTAAAAAATAGTATGGAGTAATACATACAAAAGCATCATCATTCTAAGTCAAAGCTATTGCGTGTGAGCCAAATATTGCCTGCCACCTATTTTTGTAAGTAAAATTTTATTGGATCACAGCCATGCCAGTGGCTGCTTTCCTGCTACAAAGCAGAGTTGAGTAGTTACAACAGAGACATTATAGCCGCAAAGCTTAATGTGTCTTCTGGAGCTCTATAGAAAAAGTTTACCGACTTACATTCTAAGTGATAGAATCATGAGTAATTTTAATTTTTTAAAATTTTTGTCTGACTTCATTTTTTAAATTTTCTGCAGTGAGCATAAATTTATTGCATAAAATATGTATCTATTATTAAACCACTGAATCCTGGTTAGAAAATCTTATTACATTAAGAAAATTAAACCAGTCAAATAATAAAAATCTGATTATAGCTTTCAAAGTTCTAATTCAAAATATAAGACCTACATTGTAGGTAGTATATTAATTTTTCATTTTTAAAATTAAGACCTATGTGTGGACATGACTCTTCCATGTGCCAACAGGATTGGTTTCTCAAAACTTCATTTTAGAACTTCTGGTATGATCTTTTTATCTTATGTCTTGGCATATTAGTCTTCTGAGGCTGTGTTTGCATAATACAATGTTAAGTTTGATGAATAAGGTGGATTAATTTGAGTAAAGATTTTGGAGTAAGAAATAAGGGTGACACACGTTTAGAAGACTGATTTTCTTTACTTGGCTTGTAAACTGGACATAAAAGGAGTATCAAAGAAAAGAGTTTTCAAGTGTTTGGAGCTTTGGAAAATAAATGAATTAGTATGGAACTTCCCAAGGACACTACTTTGAAAAAATAAATTCACTTGGATGCATAAATTATGGATATTTGTTACAACAGACAATTCTGATGTAGCTAAGCAAATTTTGCTTCAAAATCCTGTAGGATAAAACCTTATAAAACGTGTTTGAGTAATCAGGAAATAATTAGGACAGCCAGAAGACCTGCTAATTAACATTAGGTGAGGGAATACTTGAAAATAGAATTCATCTTAACCAGAAGTTCCAGATGACATGCATCTTTATTAAAAGAAACAGAAGTAAACAATACTTTAATTAAACTTTCAAATACACAAAGAGGCTTTTAAAATACCGGTAAGGAATGAGAAATAACACAATGGATTTTCATGAAACTATGAAGCAATTAAGATGAGAAATAATACATTTATGCTTTGAATTTATACATTTGCATATTGAGAAAGAATGCCACTATTCAAATATATATCAGTGACTTTTCAAATTTTAAGATCTGATTTATTGACTAGATAGTATCTATCCAATAACAGAATTTCCTGATAGGATAAAATCATTTACACGTTTCCAAAGTCAACATTTTTCCTTAATATTCTCAAAGATTAAGACTCTGGCCTATCTGAGAAAAAAAAAAAACCATAATTTATCTGAACATTCATCTCAATATATTTTAAAAGGAAGGTGTCTGTCATTAGTGTATATTTTAATAGTTTTAAGATATTCTCTGCCTTCTGGCTCAATTGATCTCTATATTAATAACTCCCATTACATTTGTTGCCAGTTCTATACTCAACTACTAGGTATTCACCAAGAAAACCCCAAGATTTCTAACAACTAAGTATTTCCTCATGTTTCTGCTTCTAACCATTCACTTCCCACTCATTTTTGACCCTGTTCTGTGCTTATCTAAATCTGGCCTTCAAAACCTTCAAAATGCCACTTCCTTAATGAAGAATGTCTCTCTCTTCTCAAGCAGAAGTAATCATTTTCTGCTCTATGCTCTCATGCCTCTTACCAGGTTCTGTTGTAAATCAGAGATCTTTGAATGACTGTCTCACTTCCTCCTGCTATGTTTTAATTTTCTTATAGTCCATACTTACTTTACTTACTATTCTCTTCAGTGTCTAACACATTGTCAGCAATTAACATATTGTTAATATGTACTTGTTAATTCATAAATTACCTCTTTGAAAAGGAGATGTAAAAAGGAAATCTTTTTCTTAAAGAAATAGGAATATAGAGAAAATATATAACTTTATACATCTTCTCAATATAACCTAAATCAGAGGTGCTGATTTTACTACTAGATAGATATTTTCACTTAAGCCAAATAAATATACTTTAAAAACTAAACTACAATTGTAAAACAAAGCAACTACTATTTCACATCTAGGGTGATTGTTAAATACTTTTATATCATTAGTGATATATTAAGTCCTCCTTTTGTGCAGAAATATTAGTGTACCACAGACTAATCATTTAGAGAAAACATCATGCTCATTTATGCCACTTACTAATTTGTGGGACATTATTTAATTTTGAAAAGGCTCAGTTACCTCATCTTTAAAATGGGAATAATTATTTTGAGCCTTACCTATTTTACAAGTTTTCTGTGAAAGCTAATGAGACAATGTAAGTGACAGCACTTTGTAAACTGTAAAGTTCTATATAAATGTAAGGGTTTATGAGGGACATTAATATAAGGGACATTATTAGTAATATGAGAGAATGAGTGAGTCAATGGCTGAAACAAGTCAGATTCTTTTAGATAAAATTCATATGAAATATCTTATGAAATGCTTGAAGCAAGGAAAGATTTTGGTATGTAATAACTTTAATTTTCATCACAAGAAACTGAGTAATTCCAAATATTAAGATTACTGGATTACTTTGGTGCTTTATGAGTTCTATGAGATTGCAAATTCAATCTGAGGGATCCTTACAAATGAAAGGGTTCCAGGCCTAAAATATTCTCCAATCTAATTCAGTGACTATTACCAATTAGGAAGAATTATTTTATGTCCTTCTCTCACACTATAGAGGTCAGTTTAATAAAGCTCTAAGACCTTTCCATCATATTTCATGTAATCCTGAAGTTTTAGTATACTCACTTAAAGGGAATATGGAATGTCCAGCCTAAGAATGAAAAAGGATCTCAGCATTCATTCATTCTAAGTAACACCCAGATCTGGAATCCCACTATGGTACCCCGGATGTCTCTAGCCTCAACCTGAATGGACCCAACTCAAAAAAAAAAAAAAAAAAAAAGATGGGAATCAACTGCCTATTCCTAAGTCAGTTAGGCTTTTCTTTATATAATATCTTAGTAAAATATGATCTCCCGTCATTTGCAATGTGTCCTAAAAGCTTAGGTTTACCCATATACAGAACCTTGTAACATACACACAGAAACACATACCACATTGCTCTTGCCTAGTCTCTCCTTCCCTCTTAGTCTTCTAGGCCAATGGTATATAATTCCAAATTAGCTAGGGCAGTTAGCAAATATATTCTCAGGTTTAATTCCCTTTCTCTCTTCATGAGAGTTAATCAGCATATCTATAGACATTTTCTAAGAGTACCAGCTCTACTAGGATTAAATGCGTGATGGATTTTGCTGTTGCTTACAGAGCGCCAGTTTCTTTCCCAAAGGAGTCACTGAACAGAGCCTGTCTTGAATAACAAATGAACTTCAATGAGTTAAATTCTGTTAAAGTCACTCTGACTCTCATAGCCTGCACATGGGCCTTGAGGATTATAAGCATTTAGTAGCTACATGATCAAACTGCCAAAATGTCTTTAAATGACTTGGCTAATCTTCATATTGTGCTTATGGTTAATGTCATTATTTAAAACTTTGGATTTAGACTGGCAGTAATTAATAAGCATACTGAATGGAATCCTTGTCTCTTACATTTTGAATAAATTCCACTGCCATCCACAGAGCAGGAAAAACTTAACTAATCATAATCAAAATTAACCATGTTTCTTCTATTCCACAATCCAAAGTAAAAATTTTAACTTGGTATAAAAATTAAAGTTTAACTTATCTCTGTCATAATTAAACATAAATAGTCAAATGAAACTAACATGGCGTAATGGTTTCTTTCATCTTACCTTCATGTGATGTAGTTGTATCAGAGGGTAGGTGACTTTATTTAATAATAAAGATTTTCTTGTAGCATAATTTACAACTCAAGGATATCAGACAGAAAGTTACCTGCTCCAAGTGGGAGAACAAAGTCATTTTTCATAAGCCATCCTTATCTTAGGATGACCTAATATGGAAACTGATGGCATGGTGTTCTGTTTGATTTAAACATAGAGGTTGATTTAACCTCTATAAACTAAAATCTATGCTGAAATAACTTCACATAAAAATCAAATTTCTATTTTTAATTCCTATATGGTGATTTATCTTTGTTTATATGATATATGAGGCTTCAATAAGATTTCTCTGTTTCTCTTAGAAGATAAAGGGAAGTTAAAAGCCAACAGTTCCAGTCAGCCATCAAGCTCTGAAAGTGGCTCATTTCTCCTCAAATCTGGCACAACACCCCTGCCACCTGGAGTAGCCACTTCTCCCTCCAAGAGCACAAATGGAGCTCCCAGTACTGTTGCTGAATCAGAAGAAGAAAAAGCCAAAAAATTACTTTATTGTTCACTATGCAAAGTGGCTGTGAACTCCCTGTCACAGCTAGAGGCACACAACACAGGTTAGCAGCTATCTTTTGCATTTAAATAATGTTTATAACAAAACCCAACATTTCCCATCAGAATACCGTATCTTTTGTTGTTCAGACCTTAGGTTTGTTCGATGCTTCTTTACTTTTTGGATTCAAAGGAGTGATTTTAGAAAAGTATGATCATATGACTTTGAAAATAGTGAGGCAAAAGCAGCTTGGAGATCAAACTTGTCCTATTCTTTATTTCCTTAAAAACATCTAATACTGTCCAAAATTCATTTTGATTAAGTGATAGAGATGAAGATAAATATTTATGCACAATGATCACTGCAACACACTTATAAGAGAATAAAAATGGAAACAACCTAAAAGCCCACCAGTAGGGAATTACTGAATAAATTACAGTAACTCAATATAATATATGTTAAAAAGCCATTAAAACATAATGATCAGAAAATATTTACATGATTTGCTATGTGAAATTTTCAGGATACTTAATTAGTATGATCCCAATTTTGAATTTGTTTTTAGTACATTAAAAAAAGAACCTGACAAGAAATACACTAAACTGATAACAGTGGTTACCTCTGAGTAGTGAAAGTATGGGTAATCTTTATTTTCTTATATTTCTCTATATTTTTAAAATTTTATTCTTTTTCCATTTTTTACAATAAAATGTGTTAAATTTATAATCAGCATTAAAATGGTTATTTAAAAAAAGCATTGGGAATTTTAGCCTGCAGATAAATTTCTCAAGGATAAGTAAACAAACAGCTTTATATAATTCTTGGATAGCTGTTTAATATGTCTCTTTCTGTCTTAGGATCTAAACACAAGACCATGGTTGAAGCTCGTAATGGGGCTGGTCCAATTAAATCCTATCCTAGACCTGGATCAAGATTAAAGGTGCAGAATGGCAGTAAGGGATCAGGACTACAGAACAAGACATTTCATTGTGAAATCTGTGATGTTCATGTTAATTCAGAAATTCAACTCAAACAGGTAACATATCCTGAATTAGTAAACGTTGTTTGTGGTCACCACTTGACTGTTTTTCTTCTCATCTATAGAATGGTTCTTATCGTACTCACAGTTAAATTGACTAACTTTTGTAGAATGCATACAATATGCAACATACAGGTGCTATGTGGCAGAAAAAGTCAGTATGAAATATTTGAGCATCTACTGTTACTATATGTCAGGTTCCAGGCTAGATGTTGGAGAAATGGTAACAGTAGTCACTGGAGCCTACAGCTGAGCAGGAGCTTCTGGTAAGGGGAGATGTTAAGCCTGTCTTCCAAAGGCTCAAAATCGGATTAGAAAGAGAGATACTCACCAGTAACAGTGGTAATACCAGGCAAAATCTGATAAGGGCTATAGAGAACAGGAGAGGGACACAGAGGTATTACAATTGAGGAATAAGTCTTAATTTAGAAATCATAACGATTTTACCCATACCATTGTGGAACCATGGACCTAGAGTTGGCAGTGGAGTAAACAGCTACCTAGAAATATATTTTACATGGAATGAGACTCACATTCAATTCAGCTAATGCATCAAACTTTTTTCAGCACATTTCTAGCCGAAGGCATAAAGATCGAGTTGCAGGGAAACCACTGAAGCCAAAATACAGCCCTTACAACAAACTCCAACGGAGCCCAAGTATTCTAGCAGTAAGTTTACCTCACCTGCTTACCTGTTTAGTGGGGCAGCCTTGCTGGGTTGGGCAGCCACTGTGGCTAAGGAGGGCATCGAGTCTAATGGGCATGAAAGGTTTTGAATTTAAATAGCCTCATAGAAGTTTTAGAATGAACTGCTTAGTTCCTGCTACAGAGCAACTTACTTAGAAAACAGAACTGAACTGCTTTAAGAGCTAATACTTTACTCTTCACCAAGTTGTTTTCAAAAGACTACCATATAAAGATAAGTAAAGGTTCAGGAACAAGGACAAGTGATACCCAAGGAATCCTGGGATGTGGAACTTGGAAAGAGGGATTTCTTTCATAAAACAAAAATCCATCAATTTAATATCCTCATGCTTTCTGTTTTTTTTTTAAAAAATAATTCAATATGAGAAGGTAAAGTGGTGTTTCTGTCGTGTGCACCATTCTAGCAGGCATGTTGGTAAATAGCCTGTTTTACCTGCTCTCAGTATGTGCTATTTTTAGTGTCTTTCCAAAAACACCTAAGGACTCCAGCAGTAAGTGTCATATAAATACCAAGATGGATGGATTTCACAATCTCTCTGGGACTGGGCCCAGTGCAGTGTTCGGTCTGAAGATGAAGCTGAGCTTGTCCAGCTGGAGGCAATCCTGAGATTACCCTCCAGCTTCTCCAAAGCCTCTGTCTGATGCTGCGAGCATGTGTTACCTGCATTAAACAGATCCAGCTCGCAATGCTCCTCCTGATTGCAAGAGAGAGAAGTTAAGGATTGATTTCTTCACAGGAGGATTCTATCCTGGCATTCCATTAAATAGAGAGTTTTGAGCCCACTTACAGTCATTCTCAACAATAGAAATTTGATTAAGCTGTGATTTTTCAAGTAATACTCATTAAGTAGCCAGTGAGAGAGGTGTGACCTGACTGTTTTCTTGCTCTTCAGGGTCCCTCACGTCCTGAACTCATTACCTAAACTCAATGCAGCTTATCTAAGAGAAGGGAAGGACCACATACATTCTCGAAAAACAAAACAAAACTCTCTAGGCCTCATCATGGTTTAAGACAAGCCTGAATTTTGAGTTGAGCTTCCTCAACTAAGCAGGAAATTTCCGGGCACTTTTTTTTTTTCCTGCTGATCAGCAGCATAAAAAAGCTTTAGCATTTATTCCAAGGCCTTTCCCTGTGCCCTAGCACACAGGAGCAAAGAGCACCAAATAAAAGTAAAGAAAGCTATGTCATGAGCCCCTGAAACCAGCATTGTGAAAATAATCATTTCTTAACTTCTGAGAGTAAAGATTTTCAGAATTTAAGACTTCTTAATGTTGGTGTTTTACTTATGGAAAGATGTCGATGTCTGCAGTAGTTTTATTCAAAAACATTATCTCCACCCCATTTCTGATTTTCCCCCTCCATTAGGCAAAACTTGCATTCCAGAAAGATATGATGAAGCCTTTGGCCCCAGCCTTCCTGTCCTCACCTCTTGCGGCGGCAGCGGCCGTGTCCTCTGCGCTGTCACTCCCACCTCGGCCTTCTGCCTCGCTCTTCCAGGCTCCAGCCATTCCTCCAGCTCTTCTGAGGCCGGGGCACGGGCCCATCCGCGCCACTCCTGCCTCCATCCTCTTTGCTCCATACTAACGTCTGCAAAACCCAAGACGTTTGAGGCCAGTAGGAAGCTGAGAAGAAAAGCCACAGGGATTCAGCATTTAAGCAGTTTGTACTGCAGTACCCCCATTCACCCACAAAATGCAGCCTACCCACCCCAAGCCCCAGTTCCAAAGAGAAACACATCACTAGATTCAAGAGGGCTTTTAGAGACCGCTCCTATAATTTAGGAATCTGAGCAGCATAGGCTTTATCTCCCTATTTCCTCCCTGACCCTATCCCGTTCAATTTGTGTATCTCAGATATTTGGTTTCTTGCACATGTATTGGTCAGAAAGAAAAAGAAAGAAAATCATTCTCTATTTTTCCATGGGTATGATCTGGCTTAAAACAATATGGAATATTTTCCTGACAGACTTGAAAACTAGGATCTTCCTCAGATGTCTGTAAATAACTCTGGTATCCAACTGGGTGTATTCTAGTGTGGAACAAAAATCAGTGAACACAAGTGCTTACTTGTGGATACCACCTTACCAACGTATCACAAAGTTCTCTTTTTGGTGTACTGTTGACACAGATTGTGTACTGTTTCGACCCAAGTACTGTTGTATCCTGTGTAGTACTAGATTTGTATCTCTTGTCTGAATTGAACATTTTTAGTTGCTGTGTAAATGTTAGGAAGCAACGTAGCTTTGAATTTTCTCTTTAAGAGAACAAAAGATAAAGTAATGTATTTTTGTTGTTTCACATTTTATTTGGAGATATTTAAATGAAATAGAAAGCCATATAACATAGCTATAATTACTACCTGTTTGCTATTTTTGTTTAACTTATTTTGTAGCTTCCTCACTGGTTTGTGTTGCTAAGCAAATGTATACAAACAGAAAAAGAGCTTCCTAAATTGCACATTTTTGCATCTCTTGTGCATTCTGCAAGAAGACAATGAATCCATGTATTTCTATATAATTATCTTCTTCATTTTTAACCTGTTTTCATTTGTAATGATGCTACATAATTTTGTGGCTCTTTAATGCAATAATGTACAGAAGATTAAAAAAAATTTATAATTGAAGAATTTGTTTTTCTGTTCACTGAATATGTTGCAGGTCATGCTCCCATGCCCCCCTTTCTAAGCTGATATCAGCAAGATTGGAATGTTTGTGATATCAGGGGGGAGTTATCATAAAACAACAAAATAGAGTAAACTCTTTTAGAGCATCTGTATCTGCAACCTGTAAATGGTAAAATGTCTGTGTATTTTTTTAAATGTACCTTTTCAATAAAAGTACAAAATATAAAACCTGTTTGTATTTTCAATGTTTTTTTTTCTCCTGAGACACCTCCAATTTGAAATCATCTGATGAAAGATTTTTAATAGGTACAAAGATTGCTTCTGACATAGCATTTTTAGCTCGTTTGCAGCATATTTATTTGTCATGTTTATTCATTACTGTTCACAGCATCTGCATGAGGTGAAATTTTACTGCTGTTTTCTCTCTGAATCTCTAAGATGTTGGGCCAAAGGTGTTGAGTTACCCAAAATCACAGTAGCAGCCTGCAAAAAACTTTGGACTCAGATTTTTTTAACTTACTGTGGGTCCTCTAAATCTCTAGTTCAACTTTTATTGGTGTCCGTGGCATTTATGATCTCTCTTAAGAGAATCTTATTCCATTTCTCCTCCTTTGCCTTCTCCAATCAGCATATCCCTTTTTTTCTTCCACCTCATTCTGTTGCTTTTAAGTATAAAGATCAATACATCACTGTTTATTCTGGTGAATTATTGCTGCTTACAAGACTGCTCTAAAACTTAGTAGGTTAAAATAATAACAACTTGATAACTAGTTATATCAAAATTTCATGGGTGAAATTCTGGATTTCAAATCCATCAGGATTTGGCTGGGCTGTTATTCTCTACCCGGTGGCATCAACAGAGTGCCATTGGTAGTGTTCAGCTCTCACATGGGCTGGGCTGGAGGGCCCAGGATAACTTCCCTCATATGTCTGCCCAGTCAAAAATGGCTGGAAGGTTGAGCCTTACTGGTACCATCTACCAGGGGCCTCTATGTGGCCTCCCTAGCATCCTCCTTGTTGTCTCAAGTAGTTACACAGTAGCAGACAGAACATTTTAAGAGTCCCGGGTGAAAATCAAAGCCTTCTTAAGAAACAGTGTTGAAACACCCAGCACAACTTATGCTACATTCCATTGATCATACAAGTCACCAAGACCAATCCAGATTCAAGGGGAAGAAAATTAGACATCACTTCTCAATATGAAGAAGAGAAAGAATTTGCCACCATCTTTAATCTACCACACTGTTATAGAAATTGGAGGGGAGTGGCTACAAAACCATTACAGATCCTGTTTCTCCCTACTGACATGTTAACCATGTCAGTTTTTTTTCCCTATTTATTTTATTGCATTTTAGATTTTGGGGTACATGTGAAGAACATGCAAGATTGTTGCATAGGTAGACACGTGGCAGTGTGATTTGCGTCAGTTTTTTTTAAATGAGAATTAGGGTTGGACTGAGATTCTCATTTCTAAAAATTTAAGGCCAGTAGGTGGCAGTGTAGCTGTGATGCATGGCGACAGACTTCCTCTGAGTTTATCCAACTGAAAATTGTTGAATATTTTAGTCTTAACAATCAAGTTTCTTTCAGCTTCTAGTAAGATTCCAGTTTGATATTCAGAATTTGTCATTTTTTTAAAATAAGACTCATTTGAAGTCTAACAATACTGGTTACACTTAACCTTGGTTGTATCTTCGACATGATTTATAGAGAGTATGTCCTGATGGATTTGTGTTTCCATTGAACACTTTGAGGTACTATTTATTTTTATTTTTAGAGACTTCAATGGCCATGATATATTGTTTATCTTTCATTATCCTAAATTTCATTAAAGCTTTCTGCAATCCTCAAAAATTTGTAAATGTCAGTATTTAGACAGACTCAGGAATTTACTGATTAGATTTGTAAAGTTAAGATTTGTTAAAGATTACCTCAGGGAAGAAGTACAAAAGAATACCAGTTAATTAAAATGAATGCTTTCAAAAAGAAGCCAAGAGTAGCTTTAAGCAATTATTTATAAAATAATATTAAACACATATATTTCATGATTCACCCTGATTCTGAGGTGCTAGTGTGGGTCAACCCTGGAAAGGATACATGTATCTGAACTAACACCTCTTCCAACATGATTTCTAATGAGAAAAGAGTGCCACTCTACTTCACTTACTGTGAAAGTTACGAAACATACTGCTTCCTCTGACAGTCTCTCTCTGGTCTCTGTAGAATCAGAAAACTGGTCTCAGGTAGAGTTGCCAGATAAAATATAAAATACCCAGTTAAATTTGAATTTCGGATAAACCATAATTGTTTGGTGTAAGAGTTTAAATAATTTTAGGACGATATTGCACATAGCAGAAGTATGTTTCATAAATACACATGCAATATTTGGGACCTACTTATACTAAAAGATTATTTGTTGTTTATCTGAAACTCAAATTTAAATGGACATCCTATATTTTTATTTGCTAAATGTGGCAACCCTTTTCTCAGGAGCATTTCTCCTCATCTCCGGAATTGTGATCCTTCAGGGCAAAAACAACCTCTTGGGTATTAAAAACAAAATAATGAATTTTTAAAAGGCACATTGTAATATATACTCACAAATAGGCAGAAGAAGGAACTTGCATGAAGTAACCATCAGTGATATATTGACTTTGCGTAGGACCAGCAAGGGGGAAAATGTAACTGCAGATGCCTCTTACTTAAAGCTATAGTGACACCTGTTTATCAAAATTATTGTAAAAGGGTAAAACAAAATTTTAATTTGTCTTATACACCAACAACAGAACCCTTGATTTTCATCTTTGCTCTAAAAGAATTCTGGCTTTTCAGAGCAGAAATAGATATGGTCATGTCAAATTTTTCTCTCAGATAGTGTTTAAAGAAAAAAACCATACTACATTTAATGTCATTGGAAAAGAGAAGGAAGAAAATTCTCACTGGAAAAATGAACAAACAAAGGAGAACAAGTAGAAATCCTGTTCTGCAAAGACTCCCAAAGGGAGCCGAAAGAGACTGACCAAAGAGATTGAATTTGGGGATGTTTTGTAAAATGGGCACCCACTGCCTGGGGTGCCATCAGGGAGAAGAAACGTGGGGAGGAGAGAGATGGCCAGGAGCTGTTTGACAGATAGATTAAGTTAGCATGAAGACATAGACACCCTAGATAACCACAGGCATCTTCAGATGACAGGGTGAAGGATTTCATTCCACCTCTGCAGGTCTTGTGGATTCTGGCCTTTCTTTACAGTTCTTCTTCTATCAGATCTTTGTTTTGTTAATATGATGGCCTAAATGTCAGAGGTGACACGTCTCTTTGGAAAAAATAGTTTCTGGTACCGCGGTGGGTTGAGCAGAAGCTATGCAGGGCAAGAGCAAATTCCACAGGGGATGCTGTGTTTGCCTCCTTCCCTCCTCCGAGTAATTAGCTCCATAGGGGAATTTATCAAGGACATGTCCTTGCAGGTTCTCAGCAGCTATGGAGTGTGACTTGGTAATTGCCTTTATGTCTTTGGCTAAAATTTCTAAAGCCAGATTGACTCATGTATTCTACTCCTAGCTAAGTGCTCAAAATGCATAAACGCTCTGGTCATCAGATAGAATTCCTTCTGTAGGTGCACTGAAAATATCTTCATGTCATATTTTTCATTTTAAGAAGTCACTTATCTACAGGTAATTGGAAAAACTTGCCATTAAGTATCTGCTGTCTATTTTTATCATAGTGAAAAAGTAAAATTAGGATATAGCATAACTAAACAAGAAAAATACATAATTTGCACTCAAAGACCTGAATCCAAATCCTGATCATGTCATATAGACATTAGTTATGTGATCTTATGTCAGAAAAATATTATATGTAATATCTCCAAAGCCTTCGTTTTTCACATATATAAAACAGATATAATAGTATTCAACTCACAGGGTGATTCTGAGAAGCAGATATAGTTAAACACGTGAGAATGTTTTGGTACATTATCACATGCTATGTAAATTTGCATAGTAGATGGATAAATCAAATCAATAATTACTCTCATTTTAAATTTCTAAATTGTAAGATTCTCTCAAATTAGCCAACTTTTTGCTACCTTGTATTTATATTTTATTATATATTCAGTAGGTTTGTTACATAGGTATACTATACATAGATATATAATATGATGCTGGGGTTTGAGCTTCTAATAAACATAGTACCCAATAGGCAGTTTTTCAGCTTGCCCCCTTCCCTTCTTCCCTGAGTCCCCAGTGCCTGCTGTTTCCATCTTTATGTCCATGTGCACTCATTGTTTAGTTCCCAAGTTAAAATATGCAGAATTTGATATTCTGTTTCTGTGTTGTTTCACTTAGGATAATGCCCTCCAGCTGCACTGATGTAGCTGCAAAGAACATGATTTCATTCTTTTTTATGTCAAATTAGCCAATTTTAAGTCTTTAGCGGTGACCTAGACTCAGAGAAAAAATTTATCTGTAAAGAAGAAATAGCAAATTCATTAATTGCATATTTATGCTCCTAGTCTCAAAGGTATAATCCAAATTGAAGTATAAGATAACAGAGCCAAAGGAAATGCAAGATGTTTGCTTATCACGAGAATGTTTGAATTTTATCTTATTTCCACATTAGAAAAAGAGAATCTTACTTTTTTTTTGGTTTTTTTTTGTTGTTGTTTTTTTTTTTTTTTTTTTTTTTGAGATGGAGTTTCGCTCTTGTTACCCAGGCTGGAGTGCAATGGCGCGATCTCGGCTCACCGCAACCTCCGCCTCCTGGGTTCAGGCAATTCTCCTGCCTCAGCCTCCTGAGTAGCTGGGATTACAGGCACGTGCCACCATGCCCAGCTAATTTTTTGTAGTTTTAGTAGAGACGGGGTTTCACCTTGTTGACCAGGATGGTCTTGATCTCTTGACCTCATGATCCACCCGCCTCGGCCTCCCAAAGTGCTGGGATTACAGGCATGAGCCACCACGCCCAGCCCAAAAACTTCCTTACATTGTAAAAATAAAATCACAACTCTTGTTATGCAAAATAAAATACTCATCTCTGAAGTAAAAAACCAAAATACTAAAAAGAGTATTTAAACATACAAAACACACTAGAGAAAATATTTACAATCCTTATGACATATAAAGATTCATATTCTTATTATACAGAGAACTTGTAAAATGGGGAAGGAGAATACTTTCAAAAAAGAAATTAATAGAAAACTGGACAAAAAGGCAAACCAAAAGAGATAAAATATA